TTTGGTGTGTGTTTGAAGGGGCAGGAGACCCATGGAGACCTAATCCAGTACTATCATGGCAGGGAAAATCTGACTGTAGCTGCCTTGTACCATGTCGTGCACTGCCTCGTGCTGGGAGCACAGCCACGTTTGCTCTAAGCAGCCCATATGTTCACACCATTGCCCAGTGTGACTGAGAGTGAGCCCTTCCCTCAGAGCATCCTCACGTATCCCACACTGAGTCATCCTTTGGAATAAATATTCTTCTTAGGAGAATCTGGGACATGAATTCTCAGCCTGGGGAAGGCCAGAGAAGACTTTGGGCTGTACCAACACACCTCCCTTACCTGTGCCTTTTCCAATGCCTGCCTGAGCTTCAAAGAGGTTTGAAAGTCATGGCTGAAAATCCTGCAAGCAGCCTGCACACGGTGGTCCTGCAGGGCTTGGCTGAGCCCTTGTATGAACCCAAGCCCTGAAAAAGCAGCCATTCGTTTCCCAGGCTCCTGCAGCTCACCTGAGACCCACATTGCAAGATTGGTTGTGCAAACTGTGCTATACCCAAACGTCTGAGAGCACAGGAAAGCCTGGCATTGCAATACCCCTGTCTGGAGCATAGGAAGGGAGATCTGCCCCTCTGCTGCGCTCTGGAGAGAACCCCCTGCAGACCTGCATCCAGCTCTGGGGAACAGCACAAGAGGGACAAGGAGCTGGGTATGATTCTGATTCTATGGCTCTATGAAAGGCACTGCCTGCAGGTGGGTGTGAGCCCAAGCAGCAGGTCCAGGCACAGGTCTAGCAGCAGCTCCGTGCCAGCCTTCTCCTTGGATGTGGACAGCACAGCATGAACATAGCCATACTTGCAGCAATCTGGTGGTGTCGGCTGCCAGAGGACTGCAGGACCTGCTGGCTCTTTCTCTGTGCTGGCACTGGCTGCTCACAGACCAGAGACACACAGCAGAGCAGGGAAGCAGCAGAGCCGGTGTCTGGCAGAAGGGCAGGGGCTTGGTTTGGAGCATCACTGAGCATAGCTGCTCCGGCTGGTGGGAATGCCTCAGCTGGGATAACCATGTGGTGTGTACCCAGTCCTGCTGCTGCCTGTCAGTCGCTTCAGCCAGGGAAAAGAGCCCTGGGATTTGCCCTGACTGGAAGGAGTACCAGTGTGTAGGAATATTTCCATCTCATTTTTCTGCCCAGGTGCTTGGGGCATCCACCCAACCACTGAAACGGATGGTTTAAAGCCCCAGGGCCCTAAGGGGGCAGGAGAGCACCACTTGCTGAATAGCAGAGCTTCTGCTTGTGGCATGGGGTTGGAACTGGATGAGCTTTACAGTCCCTTCCAACACAAACCCCTCTATGATTCTATGATATCCCCCAGCCTGTGTGGACGTGGCACTGCCTGTTCCTGACAAACCAAAGAGGACCAGGTCTTCCTGGAAGCAGAAAGGGCAGCACACGGCAGGGATTCCTTGTGACAACATCAGTGGAGATGAACCAAAGTGATCTGAGCCAAAACAGCCAACGGCAAATGGTAGCCAAGAGACTGCAAACCAGCACAAGCATGGGAGCACTGTGCTCCAGCCCCTGCCCTGCTGCAGGATGGGCATCACGGAGCCAGTGTGACCAGAGGGGGGAACACTTGGCTCTGCCAGCAGGAGCCAGGACACTGTGAACCGAGATCAGTTCTGCCCGAGGAAACACTGATTTACAGTGAAGGGAAACGAATTGTACTGAAGGTAGCTTTGCTAAGAGAGGGCCCTGTGAAATGAGCCACATGCACTTTGACTGGTGCAGAGCAAATCCATCATGAAATGCCTTGGTCGCATCTGCCAGCTCATCATGTTAAAGCCTTGGTGTGCCTCCTTAGAATTCACTAAGGATGTGCTTGGCTTGTACTCCTAAAGGAAGCCTTGCTGTTGACTTGGGTGGGAGGGGGAGAAGTGCAGACTGGGGGTCTCTGCACACACGCAGCAAGTGAAGTGTTCACTTCTGACTCAGACTTCTCACAAGACAGGAGAGCTGCAGAGGCACTCTGCTTTCTGTCTGTGAAAGAAATGCAAGTGCATGGTGAGCAGGAGGGGTGGGAGAAGGAATGAGCTCTACAAAACCAAGAAAGAGATGCTTCAAGTAAAAGTGGATCAAAGCTCAAATACAAAGGTTTCTTCCCTTCTCTTTCACAGGTCAAGCAGGAGAGGCGAGAAATCTGTCTTCAGTAGGAATTTGTGTCTCCTCCAGGCTCTATTCCACAGCCCCCGTGGCAACCTTCCTCCCATGCAGGTGAAAGGCAGGAGGTGCAGAGGAGGCCTTTGCCCAGCTCTCCTGGGAGCAGTGCTTGCTGACCTTTTCCATGTGTGAATTCCTAAGCCTCTCACAAGCAGAGGTTTCCAACCCTGCCTGAGGAGCTCAAGCCCTGACCCAGCAGGCATCCTGCTCCAGGATGCCTTTCATGGAATGAGGAGCAGCTGATGGATCCCTGAAGTTTCCCAGTGGCAGCAGCAGCAAATTGCTGTCTCATAACAGAGGGGCTTTTGCAACACAGCAGCTCCATAGTCACAGAATCACAGAGCGGTTTGGCTTGCAAAGGACCTTAAAGCTCCTCCAGCTCCCACCCCTGCCATGGGCAGGGACACCTTCCATTAGACCAGGTTGCTCCAAGCCTTTTCCAATCTGGCCTCATTAACCTGCCTCACCCCTCAGCCACCTCCACAGCACCCCCACAGCATCTCTGTCCCACCCATAGATTTCCCCTCCCAGTCCCCCTCTCCCCCTTCTCTGCTCACCAGCCCTTTTCTCTTTTCCACATGTATCCACTGCTGTCTGTTGGCTTTTGACATTCCTGACCCTACACCTCCTTTGTTTGCTATTTTCCTCTTTGCTTCCACCTTCTTTTGGTCACATCACTGGCCTTCTCACTCACCCTCCCTCACCTCCCTTCACATCAGAGGGACACCGGGGACCAGCTGGACCCAACTGATGCTGGCAGGTCTCGGATGAAGGTTGCTATGGCAAAGAGCCAGCTCCCAACCTGATGAAGAGCAGAATGAAGCCAACATTAGGTACCAACCAACTGTTGCAGGCCTGTGTAGCAACAGCCCCAAGAGGGAAGTGAAGCACTGCTTCACATTGAGCTGGAAGCATGATCTCTGCCTTAGACCCTGCTTAAGGATAATTAAAACCCCATTAATTCATGTGTTGAATTATTTGCAGGGCCCAAAGGAAACTGCCAAGCTGTGGGAGTGAGGAAGTGTGATCACCCCCGCTTCGCAGACAAGGCATACGAGGCTGAGCCAAGCTCAAGGCTGTGAGATGTGGCTGTCTGTCAGAGCAGTGGGATGTTTGCAGTCCAGCCCATCCCACCATCCCTTCCGCTCCCAGGGATTTATAATTATCATCACTGTCACAAGTAGTATCATTTAGCATCGAAAGGAAAGGAAATAGCACCCAGGTCCTGTCAGCACGTTAATGCCAGTCAAGCTCTTCAGTAGGTTTCTGTCTTTCCCGTTGGGCCACATCATCCAGACTCCTCACATGGTACCTAACCCTCCCAGGCAAGCAGTGTTACTGTGCAGGGCTCAGACAGAGGCTGGTCCCCACGGCCTCCAGCCCGCACTTGGAAAGTCACCCACCCTGGCATTAGGAAAAGCTTTCTGTTCTTTCAACTGTCTCAGGCATTTAAGTCTTTAAGGCAGGAAGGGCTTATTCTAAGCAGCTAGAGGATTACTGGGAGTTACAGGATACTTGCTGGTCTAATACTCTTCCTTTTTGCTCCAGCTTTTATGTAGCATGAAGAGAAGCTGCGTGGAGACCTCTGAGCAGCCTTCCAATATCTGAAGGGGACCTACAAGGATGCTGGACAGGGACTCTTCCTGTATCAGCTCAGTTCTGGGCTCCTCACTACAAGAGAGACATTGAGGTGCTGGAGCGGGGCCAGAGAAGACCAATGGAGCTGGTGCAGGGCCTGGAGCCCAAGCGTGATGGGGAAGGGCTGAGGGACCTGGGGGGTTCAGTGTGGAGAAGAAAAGGCTCAGGGAGGACCTGATCGCTGCCTACAACTGCCCGACAGGAGGATGGAGCCAGGAGGAGCTGGGCTCTGCTCAGGGGTCAGTGGTGGCCTTGGCAGTGCTGGGAACGGTTGGACTGGATGAGCTTGAAGCTCTTTTCCAACCTGGCTGATTCCGTGACTCAATGATTCCATGCCCCGCGGTGCCCTGCACAGCTCCAGCCCCCCGGGCCGGGCCGGGACAGACGACGAGGTCTCGGCCTAGGTCCTGGCGCTCCCCCCTCGCCGCTCTCCCCGGGGCTCCCGGCAGCGCCCCCGCACCCGCCCCGCGGCCATTGGCCACCCGCGCCGGGCCCGCCTCCGCGGCCGCGCAAGCGCCGCCACCGCCGCCGCCGGCTCGGGAGCGTTCAGCACCGCGGGTGCGGACAGCGCCCCGCGGCCATGGAGGCCGCGCCGGGCTCGCCGCGCCGGGAGCCGCGGCCCGGGGGGACGCGCCGCGGCCGCCGCCCCGACTCGCCCAGGTACGAGAGCGGCGTGGACGGGGCACCGGGGCCGGGGGCAACGGGGCCGGGCGTTCCCTCCCTCGCAGGCAGCGCCGACGTACCCGGAGTGAAGGGCGGGCGAGGTCCGGGCTGCGCTCGGTGCGGCGGGCGGGCGGGGGTCCGGGCTGTGCCGGGTGCGGCGGAGCGGGTGCCCCGGCGGGTGGGAGCTCCGCGAGGGGTGCGGAGCCGGGCACGGCCCCGCCGAGGCGTGCCTCGTCCTCCCACCGAGGGCGCGGCAAAGCCCCGAGCCGCTGCCGAGCCGCCTCCCCTTGCAGAGGTGCGCTGCCGGGGCTGGGCTCGGTGCCCCCTGGCCGGCTTTCAGCGGTGAGGCCCCCGGTGCCGCAAGGGGTGGGCTGCAGCTGGTGGTGAAGCCCCGGGTCCCCCCTGCGCTAGGCTAACAGCAAGCGCGGTTTTCACTCCAAACATCTCTGTAAAGCCCTGCAGCCCCCATCGCCTCCCCCCGGTGCCGTATGTTCCCTTACCTGGTGTCTCAAGCCAGGCTGGTGGCCACAATCATTGTCATTGTCTGGAAACGTCAACAAGCCGATAATCATGGGCAAGGAGCCATCCCCAAATTTGCAAGCACATTGCATTCGTTAGACCGGAGGCAACAGATCTTCTGAGCTCCTGGGATTCTGTTTGACCAGAGCCTCCCCGAGGCCAAGAGCACACAAATTCCTTCTGAAAGGCAGAGTTTCAGTGCTGCCTGGTACATCCTGAGACATCCCCACCTGCCTGGGGAGCCAATAGGGCAATCCCTTCCCTTCACACAGCTCTGAAGAGCTCAGCCAGAGGCTGCTGGGTCTCGGTGCCGGCTGAGAGACTGCGGCACAGTCCAGTGCTGGTTTGGATCCTGGGCATTCCACAGGGTCGGGGCTATGTCGAGGCAACATTAGGTTTGCTCGCTGGGGTAATCCCTGCTCAGTCAAACAGGTGTTTTGACATGGATTCTCCAGCCTGTAAGAGTTAAAGAGATGAGTTAAGCCACCTGAAACAGGGGTATTTTGAATTTCACCCATGCTCAAGAACTCTGATTTCTGGCAATAAAGCCCAGTAAAGCTGCCGCTCCTGGGCTTGCCTATACCCAAATGCTCCTTTACTCAAGGCTCTTCATATGGCTGCCAAAGGGCTCTGCAGTCCCATTGCCTGCCCCCAGCCAGTGCTCTTCATCACCAAAGCTCAATCCACCATCAGAATAATACAGAGGTTTGCAAACACCCTCCCTGCAGGCCTGGGATAGGAGGTGGTGTTTCCTTTCCCTTTTCATTACATTTATCTTCAAAACAAGGCTTACCAACCATGGCTCTCCCAGTGCATCTTATACTGCCTGTGCAGACAGCAAATACACCCAGAGCTGTCCTGATGCTGAAGGCTGGGCATGGATCTTGGCTCCCTTGGAGCTGGGCGTTGAGTGAGGAGCAGCTTCCCATGACCCGGCTTCAGTGTGCGCTTGAGACCAGAACCCCCCCATGTGCTGGGCTGCAACCTCAGAGCGTGAGCAGCAGCTCAGGGAGGGGATCCTGCCCCTCTGCTGCACGCTGGGGAGATCCCCCTGCAGCCCTGATCCAGCTCTGGGGCAGCAGCACAAGGGGGACCTGGAGCTGTTGGAGCAAGTCCAGAGGAGGCCACGGAGCCGCTGCGAGGGCTGGAGCAGCTCTGCTCTGGAGCCAGGCTGAGAGAGCTGGGCTGGGGCAGCCTGGACAAGAGAAGGCTCCTGAAGGGGAGACCTGAGAGCAGCTCCAGTGCCCGAAGGGGCTCCAGGAAAGCTGGAGAGGGGCTTGGGACAAGGGCCTGTAGGGACAGGCCAAGGGGAATGGCTTGAACCTGCCTGAGGGGAGACTGAGCTGAGCTCTTAGGCAGAAGCTCTTCCCTGGGAGGGTGCTGAGGCGCTGGCACAGGGTGCCCAGAGAAGCTGTGGCTGCCCCATCCCTGGCAGTGCTCAAGGCCAGGTTGGACACAGGGGCTTGGAGGAAGCTGCTCCAGTGGAAGGGGTCCCTGCCCGTAGCAGGGGTTGGAGCTGGAGGAGCTTTAAGGTCCCTTCCAACACAAACCACTCTGGGATTCTGTGATCCCATCACACATACCTGTGCCTGCAGCAGCAACAGCTGTTGGGGAAGGGTAAAGCTGCTCAGAGGAGTCAATGGGAAGGGTTGTAAAACTAAACTCCTCTTGGCAGACTACGTGGGAAGCAGTTTTGCAGTCTCATTAATTTTTCATGCTGATTTAACGTACTCAAGAGCCTCATTAACAAAAGGATTTTAGGTCTGCTTAAGGATACACAACCAAAAAAGCCAAACGGACTGGAACCACACAGAAATGTTTCAGTGCACCACAGTTTGCCATAGCCCGGGGAGGAGATGAAGTGCTTGCAAGGTGCCTGTCTCTCCCCATCAGCTGGACAGGGAGGGAGATACCACAAACCCATCCCTCATCTCTGGACAGGGGCACTCATCTCCCTAAAGAACAGAAGTAAAGCAGCTCTTTTCCTCTAGAGCTCCACTGCTGCTTTGCTGTGGTGTGTTCCAAGAGAAAACCTCTATTTAAATCCCATTAAACCCCCCCATTCTTTAAGTCATTTAGAGCTTTCAAAGAACAAGTCCTTAATCTAAGTGGAAGCTGCGCTATAGAATCAGAGAATCCCAGATTGGTTTGGGTTGGAAAGGACCTTAAAGCTCATCCAGTTCCATCCCCTGCCATGGGCAGGGACACCGTCCATTAGAGCAGCTTGCTCCAAGCCCCATCCACACGGTTTTAATTCAGAGAGAATTTATGTTTCTTCTTTTGGGAAGCCTGTAGAGCTGATACACAAGCAAAGCCTTGCTGGAGTAAGACTATAAAAGCGAAAGAAAATAAAACTACCTTCTTCTGTTATGAATTAGATGTTTCAGCATTAAATCGAGCAAAGCTTCCTGGGGATGGGCTGTAGGCAAATACAAACTCTTGCCCTTTCTCCCCCTTGTTTTCCTCCCTCCTGAGATTCTGTCAACAGGAGGGGCTGTGGTTGTGATTTGACTCAGGCATCAGACTCCATTCACTCGGGAGGTGTTTCCCATCTTTCATATGCAAAGTGCTGCTTTCGTGAGCCTCTCCTTAGTATGCAAAGGGTGAGAGAACCTTTCTATTACAGAAAGAGAAGTGCTTACAGAAATGGTTTTGGGGATGATGGTGGAATTAGGCAGAGCAAGAAAGGAACCATCCTTTCAAAACACTGTGTATTCTGGGCTGTTTCTCTCAGAGACACACACACGTTCTCCTGCTATGTGGCTCAGAGGGAAGCAAGACCTGAGATGTGCCAAAGAAATGGAATGGCTGAATTAAAAATGACCAAATGTCGTCATTCCCTGCCCTGCCAAGCTCCCTCCACCATTCCCTGCCCTGCCAAGCTCCCTCCATCATTCCCTGCCCTGCCAAGCTCCCTCCATCATTCCCTGCCCTGCCAAGCTCCCTCCACCATTCCCTGCCCTGCCAAGCTCCCTCCATCATTCCCTGCCCTGCCAAGCTCCTTCCATCATTCCCTGCCCTGCCAAGCTCCCTCCATCATTCCCTGCCCTGCCAAGCTCCCTCCATCATTCCCTGCCCTGCCAAGCTCCCTCCATCATTCCCTGCCCTGCCAAGCTCCCTCCATCATTCCCTGCCCTGCCAAGCTCCCTCCATCATTCCCTGCCCTGCCAAGCTCCTTCCATCATTCCCTGTCCTGCCAAGCTCCCTCCATTATTCCCTGCCCTGCTAAGATCCTTCCATGCGCTGGCTGAGTCAAACCATCCCAGGGGAGGGAGCTGGGACAGGCAGGAGCTCGGCACCTTGCCCACAGCCCTCTTGCTGGAGTGGGATGCTGAGGTAGGTAAAGCCATGTCCTGCTGAGGGGAGCAGTGTCCAAGCTTCCCAGTGGGATGCTGGTCTGTGCAAGGAGGGACACAGCCCATGGCTGGGGGTGCACTCTCTGCATTCAGCCCTTGGTGCCTCCCACTACTCTGCATCCCAGCAGAGATGGGATGGCAGAAAGGTGTCTCCTTGGGAATCTTGGCCCCTTTTCTGGTGGGAAGAAGCTTCTGGCCTTTTGCTGGTGCCCCACCTGAGATAGGCTGCCCATGCCCTGGTACTCATGTCACGGCTGCACTCCAGTGGCTCAGGCAGTGCCATAAACTGGATTCAGGTGCTGTTCAGACATCTCAAGGGAAAAGATGGGGAAGCAAATCAGGAAAATAAGAAGAAAAGCCTGAGAAACACAACTCATTGCTGTGGGTAGCAGGAGCATTTAACTCCTAACTTGCCCTGCACCTCCCTGTTCTCTTTTTGCCCAGCATCTCTTTGGTTGCATCCAGCTGAGCCTGAGGAATGAACTGGGGGGTGTCTGGCTGCCTCCATGAGCTTTTCTGTGGCTGAGACACCATTTCTGCCCACTTAACCCCCAAGATGTAAAACATCTGACGTGGCTCAAACTGGGAATGAACCTAGGTTTAATTGGGAATGTTAAAAGAACCTGTTTCTCTTCCCTGCTGTTACTGTCAGTGCATCAAGCAGAGTCCAGTGTGGTGCTGTGCCCACCCGCTGTCCTGCCTGACAGTGAACAGACAGCAGGAACTCCCCCAAACAATTTTCCAGCACAGCTGGGGGTCCTGTGGGCCCAGAACTGTAACAGCAACACGGCTGCAGGCAAAGAACCAGCCCACATCGCTGCTGCAGAGCTCAGCACATCAGACGTTAAGCTCAGAAGCACTGTGGCTAATTGGGAACATAGCAAGTGAAGCCTTCCATCCTGCAGCACTGCCAACAGTGATTACCCAAAGCCATCATTATCTGTGAGCTCCAGGTTTCCCTGGAGATTCTGGATAACCGAGGTCACATCGTCATGGAGCTGGGGAGAGATGAGCGTAAGGCAGCTCCTATCCAGAGGGTGATTGACAGAGCTGTAACTGTTTGGTCTGGAAAGGAGATAATGAAGAGTCACAAGTGAAGGATTTGAAGTACCAAAGTTATCCTAAAATATGAAGTCACTGCAGGGGATTAAGAGACTGCATGGGAGGAAAGAGCAGAACTTGATGGTATTATGCAGCAAAGATGGTAAACAAGAAGAGTGGGCTTCATGGGAAGCATTAGAATCAAATGCATTAGCATAAGTGCATAAAGACTGGAGGCAATGTGTGATATCCAGGAGTCTGGATCTGCTTTCCCCACCAGGTTTGGTAGCTGAGGGGCCTTTGCAGGAGGAATTTGTCACTTTGTGCTTCCTGCATCTCCCTGACCATCCTCAAAGCCCGTTTTGTGGTCCGTGCAGCATTACACATTCCTCATCAGATGAGGCAGACCCAGCAGGACAGCCACCACACTAACCCAGTCTGGAAGCCTCTGCTCCCGTCTCCTGTGTGGATCCAGTTGTTGAAACGAAAAGGAATTCTGGGTTCGCTTTGAAACAAAAAAGAACACAAATACTGTGCAGGTCTGGGAATACCAACAGCACAGATTGCCGGGGCAGCAGTGACACTGGGAATTATGCATTGTAGGAACCAACACCTGCCTGAAGCATACAAAAATTAGGGAAAAATCAACAGGAATAAGGTAGAGGGAAAACAGGAACTCAGAGGCATCAGAAAGGGAGTGAGAAAAGGTCTAGACCTTGCCAAAGCACAACACCACAAGCCCAGCTCGCTGGTGAAACCTCCCTGAGCCACGACTACTAGTACAGAACCACAAACCGCAGGTAAGATGCACAGGCATGCCAGCCATTGGGAAGAGTGGGAGGAATTACACTTCAGGCTTGAGCATGGATTGAGGGCCTCTCCAGGTCAGCTCCCCCAAACTAGCTCTGCCCTGTGGCTCCCCAGAGCCAAGGGGATGTGGTCACATGCAGCCTCCTTTGGTTTCCATTTCCCGGGGTCTCTATAATCACTCTGGTCATGCCTTAGGACCCTGCCATTACCATCAGCCAGTGCCCCTCCACAGTGAAGCATCTTGGAGAA